TTTTAAGGGAAGCTCTAGACGTCCATTCACTGAAATACCAGAATCTTAACAATTTCATAATTTAAAATCCTTTGAGCAGGTATAATTCCACCATATAACATGATTGCCAAATTGTCATATCTGTGACTGTATCTTTCAGGGAAGGAAGGAAGGAAGGAAGGAAGGAAGGAAGGAAGGAAGGAAGGAAGGAAGGAAGGAAGGAAGGAAGGAAGGAAGGAAGGAGGGGAGGGGGGGAGGGAGGGAGGAAGCCATTGCTGGAGCTCAGTCCTTCTTCCTCTGGCAGGAACCCAGACATGCAGCTGCCTGTTCTAAGGCCCGGCTTTCCCTTGCTACAGAGTTTTATTGCCAGTACAATACTATGGTTGTGTTCACATGGTGGACTTAATCACAGTTTAATTCAATTTATTGAACTAACCCGTTGGCCACATTTACACATTACAATGAACCCTAACTCAGCCTCACTAAAAAAGTTAGGTTCACACAATGCACCCAGCTGGCTATTTGTGATTGTTTTGTGCCCCATATGATCACAATCTGCGTACCTCCAACTGAGCAAAAGTGTTTCTTTTAGTAGTAATGTCACATCCTGAAGACTGAAGAGGGTTCCGCTCTCATCACGAGAGCTTCTAAGTCTAAGGCAAAAGCTTGTGGCCTAGGTAGGCGTCACTCTAGTGATCTCCAAATGCAGGCTGCCATTCTCCTGAGTATACAGATGCCAACTCGCATCTAAACTGGGTCTGCAAATACAATCTGGCCGGTTTTCACAAGCATAGTTCTCATGCAAGATTATCCCTGTAACACCCAGTGTTCTTTCTGTAGTTCATTCCCATGAAACAGCAAATAAAGTCAAATCCACTAATTTGGAATGCCCCAAATACACCACCACGTAACTGCTAACTTTAAAAGATTTGTTTATTGTTTATTGTTCTAACATGCTTGAGAGAAAATTACAACAACGTTCCAAAGTATATGTAAGACTAAACTGGCTCCGCCAATTTATGAGGGAAAAAATTCAAAATCCATAGTTGGGAAATATATTGGCAAAAACTAAAACATGTGTTCTCCAAAATTCTTCTTCAGTTTCTGGTATGCTTAGGGCTTATCCACACAGTATCCTTTCCCAGCTTGAAGACACCCCAGTTCACATTCATTGAGGACTTTTTCTTGCAGCATCTCATAGCTAGGCCCTGCTGAGGCAAAGTAAAGCTAGATCAAATTGGTGCGGCAAGGAACTCATGTTATCCATAAACAAGCAGAAGGCCTTCCATATAAGCACTGTGGGAATCCTCTTTGGAGATCAGAAACTTGCAACAGTTGTTTCTCCATGTTTATTCAAGGTTCAGTTGCTGAGAACAGCACCTCATCCAGCCATCCTATATTCTTTTTCTTCCATGAGGCTTACATTCCCCTTAAAAATCTGGAAATATAACCACACACAGCAAATTTTTCCATTCCCCTCTCTTTCTCCCACTGCTAATGACCAGAACCAAGTGTGGTGCTGTGTCACTTTCTGTGAAGGCACCAACACCACCTTCCTAAGGTCTAGTGAAAATTAAGCTTAAGAGAGCAGCTCTTTTTAAAATAACCCAATTTCCCTCCAACTCAAGGATGGTAAATTAAGGACTTTAATTTAAATTAAGGTAAAATGATTAAGGCAACTTAAAGTAAATCAAGGACTTTAATATATAAAAAAGGAGAAAGAATTTAGGGAAACAGTTGGTCCACTAACGGGAAAAGATGGCAAGGAAGTAATGGGTAGTAGAGAGAAAGTAGAGCTGCTTAAGTCATTCTTTGCATCAGTCTTCATGCAAAAGGAAAATATAGCCCAGCCTACCAAAAATTTAACCATAAAAGACAGACTAGAAATAAAAATTAAAATAGACAAGAAAATGGTAAGAGAACACCTTTCTGATCTAGATGAGTTCAAATCACCAGGATCTGATGGAGTACATCCCAGAGATCTGAAGGAGCTGGCAGATGTGTTCTCAGAACCATTGAATCATATCTTTCAAAGATCCTGGAACACCTGGGGCTACCTGAGGATTGGAAAAGAGCTGATGTGGTTCCCATCTTCAAACAAAAGGGAAAAAAACAGATCCAGGAAACTACAGACCAATCAGCCTGCCATCAATACCTGAACGTGTAGAAACATAAAAAAAAGCTTTTTGGATTAAGATTTGGTGGAACATTCAAAAGATTTTCAAGAGAAAGTTTTCACCACAATTATTTTTGTTAGGTATTATTGTAGATTGTGATGCTAAAGAAACTATTTTAATGTTGAATCTTATTACAGCTGCAAGGTTACTGGTTGGGCAATATTGGAGGAAAGATTCTTTGTCCACTATAGAAGAATGGTCGCTTAAAGTTTCTGATTTAGCAGAAATGGCCAAAATTTCTGCTTATTTGAAGGATCATTCACAAGATACATCTCGGTGTGGAGAAGATGGATAAATTATGTACAGAATAAATATGGGATTAGAAAGTATCATTTAGTTTTTGAATAACTTATAGTTTAAAGTGGGAATTGTTTATATTGTTATTTTTTTCTTTAAAATTTTCTTGTATTTGAGTTAAAGTATTTTATGGATTTTTATTGGTATAGTTGGATAAGCTTAGTTAGAATTTGTTTGCTTATTTGTAACCCTATAATCAACTCTGGGAAGTGAGGGGGGGGTTAGGGTTGGGGGGGGGAGAGGGAGGGATATTGTATTGTAATAAAATGGAAAATTTGTATAAAACTTTTTAATAAAAAAAATACCTGGGAGGATCCTGCAAAAGATAATCAAAAAACAGATTTGCGAACACCTAGAAGCAAGTAAATTTATAACTAGAAGCCAACATGGGTTTGTCAAAAAGAGATTATGCCAAACCAATTTTATTTCATTCTTTGACAAAGTGACTAAATCAGTGGATTAGCGAAATGCTGTGGACATAGTGTACTTGGATTTCAGTAAGGAAAAGAGTGCAGAGAAGAGCAACTAAGATGATCAAGGGCCTGGAGACTAAAGCATATGAAGAACTGTTGGAGGAATTGGGTATGGCTGGTTTAGAGAAAAGAATTAGGGGTGACATGATAACAGTGTTCCAATATTTGAGGGGCTGCCACAAAGAAGAGAGGTTCAACCTATTTTCCAAAGCACCAGAAGGCAAGGCAAGAAACAATGGATGGAAACAAATTAAGGAGAGAAGCAACCTATTACTAAGGACAAACTTCCTGACAATGAGAACAATTAATCAGTGGAATGGCTGGCTTTTAGAAGTTGTGGGGTGCTTCATCACTGGGGGCTTTTAAGAAGAGACTGGACAGCCACTTGTCTGAAATGGTATCGGGCAGGGGTAGGCAACCTTGGCTCTTTTATGATTTGTGGACTTCAACTCCCAGAATTCCTGAGCCAGCCATGCTGAGGGAAAAGGAAGAGGTTTCCAAGCTGAGCCATGCTGGCTGAGGAATTCTGGGAGTCGAAGTCCATGAGTCATAAAAGAGCCAAGGTTGCCTACTCCTGGTATAGGGTCTTCTATGTGAGCCGGGGTTGGACTAGAAGATGTCCAAGGTCCCTTCCAGCTCTATTATTCTATATTCTGCATGGATGAGAGAGAGTTTAAGAGAATTTGAAGGTTTGCATTTTTGGCTACTTTCCATCTTAATATCACCCAACTTTGGAACAACAATCCAGTTATCTAAAAACTGTGGAACCATTTAAGAATATTAATACAGTATTTCCTTTTAAAGATTATAACTCCTTTTGTAACATTCTCACATAAAAATACCTAGCATTTTGAAAGAAGTATCATCTCAGGGGGAAATATTCAGTGAATCTCTCTTGATTGACATAGAAGGAAAAAGGGACAAGGGGAGCTGTTTTTTTCAAAATGTTTACTACATTTTGAAGTGTTAGCAATGTGCATGTAAGCATTAGTTTGAGAAATGCAGTTCGTTTTTCTCATGATTTTAACTACAAAATCATGATTTTTCACTATAAAATCTATGTTTTAAAAAAGCCACACGGATTCATAGTATAAAATTCCTCTACCTGATTGTATACAATAATATGTGACAACAGGAGGAAACATTTTGTGCTTGGGGACCGTACAAGAAATTCATCTTTTTTTTTTTTTTACCATTTTGACTTGTCATCTGCTGGCATGCAAACCTTAGTTTGCAGTAGTCGTTTGTTCATCTCACATACCCACATACCTAAATTAGGAGTAGGGGAAGCTAATCCACAAAAACAAATTTTTTAAAAATAGAGGGCTACCATAAGGTGAGAAATCTTCTCCATGGCTGAAAATATGGGTCAGTTTCTGAACAATGTCACAGATCCAGTTAAGCTGAAGCTGTGAATGATGAAGCCAGACTGGGCCTGACTACATCAAAATAACCCCTTTTCTGTTCAGTTGTGACATAGCGTTTATCACTTTTCCTGGTCTTGACCTGTGAATCCATCTTCAATATGGAAATGCTGCTTTTCATATCTGGAAACCTCTATATCTTCTGACTTGACAGAACCAGCAACTGCGCTGAATTTCGCCTACACCAGTGATCACTTTGAAGTGATTTTTAGTGCTCAGTGTCAGTATTGCTATGATTGTCAATTATGTGCTATCTATTCAGTGCTGATTTTTTTTTAATCTTGCCTTTATTATTTTTTATAAATGACTCCAGGTAGTGAACATATTTACTACTCTTTCCTCCTCCTATTTTCCCCACAATAACAACCTTGTGAGGCAAGCTGGACTGAGAGAGAATGACTGGCTCAAAGTCATCCAGCCAGTTTTCATGTCTAAGATGGGACTAAAACTCATAGTCTTCTAGTTTCTGGCCTGGTGCCTTAACCACTAGACCAGGGTGTCAAACTGCTGGCCCACAGGCTGGATACGTCATGCCGAAACCGCGCTCACCCCATTGCTGGCAATGGAAAAAAGGTCACGATACGTCGTGACATGTCATGTGACGTCACGAGTTTGAAACCCCTGCACTAGATCAAACTGGCTTTCAGACTTGGTGATCATACAGATAGATCTTCTCCAGGACCACTGCTATGACAAAATTATAGTTAAAAATAACAGCAAAAAGCCATAACAGAGCCTGGATAATCTGTTTAATAGGCTTTCGGTAACTGTAGGTTCTACCAGCATCATTTCTCAAGAAATACCCAACTGAGGCCACTGCTATCAGCCCTAAGGCTATGCAATCTAAAAGTTAGTAGATAAGATTTAAAAGTAGCAGAATATCTTACTTAACGGGAGGAAAAACTAATTCCTGAGTTTTCATTTTAAACCATTTCATTTTTAAACGTTTCTGCTGTGCACAGCAATTCAGTAATTCATATTATAACATTTTTCTTTTCATATTCACTCCCAGTTGCAAACAAGAGTTTTCTTCCACACTGTAAAATTGAAAGATGTGTATAGATTTCCAAATAATGTAGAATAAGATTATTATTGTTTTGATGATTACATGGAGATACTGTTTAAAGAAAGTGTACTTCACACAATTACAAATTTTGATTCTCAGTGTGATTATTCCTCTGTACAGATATAAATGAAGAAGGCTGTTACTGAACACACATATAAAGCTGCAAGCATTTGTAACGCATCATGTTGCTGAAGAGACGTGTCCTTTCGTAAATTCAATACAGCATATGGAATATACAAAATGAACCCATGTCTATAATGCAGAAGTTGTCTCCTTTTTCATATTAACATTTTTTAAAAAAACAATGAAATGCTAAATCCAAGAATACATTTTCAAAAAGTTGTGATACCAAATGCCTTTGTCCATCTATCTTTCCACGTTGTCTGTAAAGAACAATAAAAATAATGCCACAATTTCATGTTTACTTGGCTCTTACATTGGCATAAATTACGTATTTTCATTCTGCCACAATTATGTGTTTCTTGGAGTAGGTAAATCAATTACTATAGGTGGATTCAATGGCTGGTAATTCATGGTACATACAGAAGCATTCACATAGGTAGTTGTTCCATCAGCCATAACACCGTAACCTAAAAAATTAAAAACATTGTTATAAATAAGCTTTTCCTCAATACATTATTTCTGCTATCATACACCAAAATGGTGGCCATATAGAAATCCCTATTCATCCCATTGAACATCAATAAATCACAGCACTAAACTTGAATATCTTCATTCTCACTAGTTTCGCACGAATCCAAGCAAACAGCACTGTGATGCCCTCTTTTTTGAAGAATAGTTTCAAATCCCTACAACTTAAATAATTCCCTGTAGAATTTAGGGTCTCTCTGCTATAAATGCTCTCTCTCTCAAACTTTTAACATTAAAACTGGATTTAGATTAGGCCCCTGAAATTGAATGCAAGATTCTACTTGGTCCTTCAGGAAGAAAATGGGGGTCTTTTTATGAAATCATCAGTCAGATGATATGGATATTAAGTGTCCATTCATGGAAGGGCCTTTGCATGTTGGATCTGGACGTCTCCATAGAACTCAAATTCCTTTGAGATTATAAACTGATATTCTGAAGCCAAATTGAATGTACATCCAGAATGAGTTAACAAGCCACAAAAGAAAGGAAAGAGCATGCCAACCAGTGATGGGATTCAGCCGGTTCGCACCACTTCGGCAGAACCGGTAGCTAATTTTTTGTTGCCCAGGCCCAGAATGGACTTCCGGAACGGCATCCACACAGAGAACCGGTTGTTCACATATTTGAATCCCACCACTGATGCCAACCATCAAGTAATTATGGTTTTCTTGCTCCTCTTTCCTGCCTTTTGTCCCTATAAAGATCTTTTTGACATTAGGAACTTTTAAACAGTATTCAAAGGTTGAACATCTGTTACTTCAATATAACTGAATGTCACAATGACCTATGTCTCCTTCATAAGTTGGCTTTGTTGCTACTCTTCATATACTGATGTTTGGAAACAACCTGTTAATGTAGCAGATTCCATATGCCACAGAGTTTGACAGAGTGCAGTTTAGGTAAATTATGGAGACATTTCCATAGGCAGAGAAAATCAAAAATAAAGGATGAAGGAAATTTATTTTATAGCGAAGCAAACTCATACAGATTAAAAAAAAGTGCCATAAGACAGTTGATGTTCATCATGGTTCCGGAAGATCCAAAGTTTCAGAATATTATTATTCCCCAATTATCCTGGAAACATATATCAAATTCTAGCAAAAACCCATCGTAGAAAATCTTTCTAGCACTTTTTTCATTCTTATATGAAAAATTCTGAGATACAGAGATAATAATGTAGATTTAATAAATGTATGTTGATAAATGAAGTAGGGTGCAGAGAAGATAACGAGTAACAACTTTTTTTTTACTGAAAATAATAGGATTCTGTCACATTAGGAACAATTTTAAGCCAGATGTTTTCACAAAGAAATAAGGTTTTCAAGAAAATAGACTGGTCATAAGAGTAATTGTTTCTCTCAGAAATTCAAGAAATGAACACTGCCTCTTTGGTTAGTAACAGAGAGCAGCAGCAGCAGCAGCCATGTCATAATGGAACCTTCTAGTACTTACTTTTTTTACATCACTATTTCGAATAACTTGAGAAATCCAAGGTAAAAATCTAGTTTGCTATTTTATGTAAATTACTGTCATCTGCTATAAATATATACCTGTTCCTTTTACTGTGTTTATTGCTTAAAAGATGCTGGTCTGAAATAGCATTTCAACTTAGTGGAATGAATTCCAGCATAGTGCCTGAGCAAGCACTATGCAGGTGGTCCTCAACTTACAACCACAATTGAGCCCAACATTTCTGTTGTTAAGTGAGACATTTTTGAATTTTGCCCCATTTCTTTCTTCCCTTAGTTGTTAAGTGAATCACTGCAGTTGATAAGTTAGCAACCCGGGTGTCAAGTGAATCTGGCTTCCCCATTGACTTTGCTTGTCAGAAGGTCGCAAAAGGGGATCACATGACCCTGGGACACAGCAACGGTCATAAATATGAACCAGTTGCCAAGCATCTGAATTTTGATCACATGACCATGGGGATGCTGCAATGGTTGTAAGTGTGAAAAACGGTCATAAGTCACTTTTTTCAGTACCACTGTAATTTGAATGGTCACTAAATGAACTGTTGTAAGTCGAGGACCACCTGTAAATTTAGCAGCATTACTAGTTGGTAAAAAGTAGGTTCCTTCAAGGGCAAGTATTGGGTGGACTATATGTGTGGGGGGAAAAAAGTCAACATAGTGACCAGGATTATACACTTGCCTTATAGACTCTTTTGTCCCCCTCTATGGACACAATTACTCACTCTTGCTCCTTGCTGTACAAAGTCTGATTTTTAAACTTATTCAGTGTGACAGAAGTTTCTGTAGCCAAAAGCAGAGGTCAGAATCAGAATAGAACAGAGCTGGAAGGGACTTTGGAGGTCTTCTAGTCCAGCCCCCTGCTCAAGCAGGAGTCCCTATATCGTTTCAGACAAGTGGCTGTCCTGTCTCATCTTAAAAACCTCGAGCGATTAAGCACCCACAACGTCTGAAGGGAAGCTGTTCTGTAATTAATCAACATACCTCTTACCTACTACACTTAATATCTCAAAGCGTATTATCCATTTTACTTTTTACCCATGAAAATACATACACACACACACACACACACACACAAACACACACACAATGCCTCACCTTCATGAATATGTCCAAAAACATGAAGTCGTGGTTGTATTCGTCTCTGGATTGTATTCAGCAGCTCCACACAGCCCACCCTTTGCATTTTCTTAGGAACCCAATCTAGAAAACCTTCAAAATAAGAAACAAATACAATTTATAAAATGCTGAAAAACTTTGTATCTCAAATTTAAGACTCTACTTCATCCTATATCTAGAATGTCTAGAAATTAATTTTTGTTCATATTCAGAAATAAAATTGAATAATAATAATGATGATGATGATGATGTATACAAGCAGAAGGTATTATAATCAATCTACCCACTAAAAGCTGTATTCATAGGTCTGTAAGATAGAGATGGTTCTAATACATGCAAATACACATTTTTGGTCAAGAAATGCAAAAGAAAGTTTCAATAAATCTATCAGATAATTTTAACATTCTTTTATCTTTATTTTATCTGATGTAATTTATTGTTGGGGTATAACCCAAGTGAAAATATAAAATAAGCTCGAAGGCCAAATGCACAGTTTTGCTATTTGTAATGGAGCTAAAATAACTGCAATGTTTTAAATGCAGATTTTAGCAGAGAAAGATTTCATTTAACAGTTTTTCAACATGGGAGTTGTCAGCCAATGACAGTAACTTGTAAGAAAAGGATAAAATCTAGGTATGAAGGGTGCAGTTGACTTCTGTTAAGAACAGTTAACGTACTGTAATTATTCCTCCTGGCTTTAATATTTGCTCTCTGGCATATTAAAAATTTATCATTTGGTGGCAATATTTGGAAAATACTGGGAATCCTATTCAAGGTCTTCATTTTTGTGGCCCCATTCAGACTGAGATCAATGTACCTCAGAGACAGCTTAGTTCTTCTCCCGGTCATACCCTTTCCTTGTACTAAATGGATGCGTAACTTCGTTTGAGAGGATTAAAAACAAACTACTGTCTCTTACTCAATTCTAAATAATAATTTCAATTCATAAGACAAAGTTTGTGACTCATATTTATTTTGCGCCTGAGAGGATCCCATAAACATTTCTCAGAATTCACCTTGAGGAGGGGACCCAGTTCAGAGCATTCAGAGAAACTGAATTAGCAATGGGAAATGAAGGTATCACAATGATACTATTGAGATGAGAGGTCACAAAGAACTAAGGACATTAACCTTGAGAAAAGGGGACTGACGAGAATGTGATACATTATTTTTAAAATTCCAGCTATCTGTGTTGCCTGAAAAAGATAGATGCAGATCAGTGATCTTCAGCCCAAAGAAGGCAGATTCTAGTTCAGTGTTATGGTTCTTCACAGTAGGAAGAGTTTAGATGTGAACCAAAGCTGTGGGAGCTGGTGAGCTCCCGTTCATTAAACCACGTTCAAGCAGAGGCTGCAAGTCCTCGGTTGGTTGAACGTGGATTTCTGCACAGAACAAGAGGTTGAACTCAGTGGCTTTAGTGGCTCCTTTCACGCAGAGCTCTGATTGGGGATAATGGCTGAAGAAACCAAGATGATGCATTCAGAGGGAACAATGAAGTTTCCCACAAACAGCAGAATCCAGCTTCTGCACACTTCCAGGTGGGATATGAACAGGGCACAAGGACCTGCGGGGTACAGGGTCAAAAAGTCAAGGTGCCAGCCATAACAATGCAATCCGTTCCTGGCCCCTTTGTATATACAGTAGTGGCCAAACTTGTGGAAACCTTTTGGGAAAAGTGTATTTTTTGAGGTTTGATGGCTAAAAACACCACTTCTTTTGGAATAGTACCATAAAATCATATATCAGTGGAAAGATAATTTAATCAAGAATGTAATGCAACAAAGTTTGTTCAATTATCTGTACTGTATTCTATAAAAAGTTATAGCCAAATAGCCAGAAAAAGGAAGCACAACTTGCTTAGGTTGATATCAGGTAGCTTTCCTTCATCTGATTGTAGCCAATGAGCATGAGTGTTTAGAGAGACAATCAGGTGTCATCTTGTTCTGGCAATGAGCCAATCAGATCACAGTAGGATTCAGTTATTGAAGTCATGTACTGAAGCTGAGAGGAGGACATTTGTCAGAACATCCAGATTCAGCCATAGTTTCATTCCATACAGCATTAACCTTACGAACTCTCAAGTTTCCTCCTTCCGTTATATATTCAAGATGGACAATATTTAATATTTATTTGCTACGTATATGTAGGTATGTGGGTCTATACATATGTTGTTCATAGTATGTTTAGCTGTGTGTCATGTATGTGTTTCACTTTGAGAGCGGGCAACTAAATTTCATTTTTGATGTGTGCCATCGTGCCCACAGTATAAAAATGACAATAAAGGTCATCTTATCTTATCTTATCTTATCTTATCTTATCTTATCTTATCTATCTTATATGATTGCTATCAAGTTGATTGGGTTTTTTTTCTTTGATTTAGTGAGCTTGTAAAACATAATAAAATTAAAGTAATGGTGCAAAGAGTTGACTGGTTGCTCAGAAAGCGATGTAAAATAGTATTATAAAGTGAACAAGGCTACAGTTATAAAGAAATTAGAAGAAAAATTGGTGGAAACTTAACCAAAAGTAGCATTTCTACTGTACACTTTTCCCAAAAGGTTTCCACAATTTTGGCCACTACTATACAAAAAAGGAGTGGGGCTTCAGTCATGTAGTAGTGGCCATTATCTTGAATGTTTTCACATGCTACACCCCACCCCCACCCCAGGAGAATCCTGGAAACAGTCCTTGGCAAATAAGTGAATTATTCCAGAAGCTGGAGGCAAAAAAGGGTAACTGTGATTTCTTCTATTTCCATTTCTTCCTAGATATGGTAGGTTTGCTGGGGTGAAAATTACTGAGTTTAAAGTGAAGATTGAATTCTCCAGCTTAGGAAGGTTCAATGGAATATTGGGAACTGTAATTATACCTATTTAATTCGTATAAAAAGAGCTGAACACTTGCCCTATGTGAAAATTAGCAAATTGTTCCATAGTGCGAATAAATTCCTCTAATAAGTACCTTAATTTTGCTCATTTTAAGAACTTGCGTTTAACGCTGGTGCCAGACTGCTGCTGCATTACAGAAATACAGCTCTGGGTTTCTATGAGATTGAGGGTTTGTTGGGGGGGGGGGTGGTTGAAGGTCTTAGTGTATCATGCAGAATGTATCCAACCTGAATGGCCATCATAGACCTTCATGAAACCATGTGCCAGGTTAAGTCCACACACCCAGCTTTGGTAAACAGCACAGATAGTAAAACTGTTCCTACGTCTAATTCTAAACTTGCCTTCAGTTGCTTTCTTTCTCTTACTTTTATAGCAGCTCCTTGTTTCTCCTTGATGTCAGGCCAACAAATGCACTTTGTAGTTTCCTAAATTCTTCATAGTGTCCAAGGTTAAATTCCTTGAGATGCCCTATCTGGCAGATGGCAGATTGCTATTTCCACATTTGGTTCACCAAGAGACTAACATCTCTGTTCTGTACAACTTGCTGGTGGTCCATGAGTGTTTGTTTGCCACAGGAAAGACAGGGGTGGTGGTGGCGGTGGTGGAACGGGACGGAGGTCCCTCATGGAAATGAACCGCATGAGAAGCACTTGACTTGTAAGGATTCTGGATGGAAAGAAGAAGCTGCTTCACCCCACCAGGAAAGCTGCAATTGTGGGAGTCTCCAAGCTCAGGATGAGACCTGGTGTCATTTCTTTTATGTAGAGAAGCCATGTAGCTCTTGTGCATGATTTAGCCCTTCTACTAGGAACAGTTTAGCTCTTCTGCTAGGAACAGTTTGCTGTTACCAGGAAAATGTCCTCAATTATATGATTCTCACAACAGATAGATCTACTTCTACTTTATCTGCAAATCCACAAATTCACTCATTAGAAGACTGAACCCAATCAGGTGATAACCTATTCAGGTGATAACCAGAGGAACAGCTTGCCTTCAGAAATCGTGGGCGCTCCATCACTGGAAGTTTTTAAGAAAAGACCAGACAGTCACTTGTCTGAAATAGTATAGGTTCTCCTGCTCGAGCAGGGGGCTGGACTAGATGACCTCCAAGGTCTTTTCCAGATTCTATTCTATTCTATTCTATTCTATTCTATTCTATTCTATTCTATTCTAGTCTAGTCTAGTCTAGTCTAGTCTAGTCTAGTCTAGTCTAGTCTATTCTTCCCTGTTAAGCATTATGCTAGCCCATGATCATCATGCCAAAACTGTGAATTATTTAAAGAAAGACCATCTATGGAGGTCTTTGAATTATACAGAATTTGTTAGTGGGAAATGTCTCTGCAGACTTTAAGGGCCTTGCAGTTGCTGGATGCTTCTTCTGAGTGAAGTTGCACCCTCTTGCTTTCAGGGGGCTCTCATAATAACAGCCCTTGTGACAATCCCTTCCCCTCCAATCCAGGCTGCTAGGATGATGTGGTTGGAATTGTTCAGCTGAGAGAATAAACTGTCTCCTTCTTTCCTCTTCCAATTTTTTAAAAATTTTCTCTATCTTCTTTTACAAATCACCCTTCTGATTTGCCTTTCTGTTCACTTTTCATTCCTTTAGCAACCACCTGATTGCACCAGGTGTTGGGTTTTTCTCTTCTCATTGTTTTATGTTCTTGCACCACTGTTAACCAGTGACCCTTAGTAATAGCATATGGTGCACACTTGCACAAGAATTCACATGGACTCTGACGGACGTCACGATGCATAGCGATTTGTCAACTTCTACTTTTGCAAAACCTTGCTCAAGCAAAGAAAGACTGAAATTCAAGTTGTGGTCACATGACTGGAAATAATTAATTGTAAATGAGGTGGTTTATAAAGGCAAAAAGGATTTCCACTTCAAAAATCTTGCGAATTAAAATCCATGAAATTAACTTCTTCATTAAATTAAGCGTTATTTATGTTGGACATGTTTTTGTCTGCATGCAATATCAACCTTCTGAAGCTTTCCCATATGTTTGTAACTTATTATGTACACCTGACTACACAAACTAAGAATAATTTATTATACCTAGTGAACATTAAGAAGACTGCCTTAGATATTATTTTCTTTCCCTTCTTTTAACATTTGGGTAAACAGTAATCTGCAACTGCCAAAAAAAGTATAAATCACTGTTGCCAACAATCAACTAGGCAGGTTCCAAGCTAGATTTTGTTGGACAATTATAGTGGATAATTTCCACTTTAGTTTGTACCTAGCATACAAATATTATACTACATATTATCCCACATATTATACGATATAGCGAAGTATAGCTCAATATGTATTTAATAAACATCAGTGAACATCAAAACAAATAACTAGCAAAACAGGATAAAACCAGGGTAAGAGGAACATTAGCAACAGCCAACAATATACATAATTCCTGTATCTATCAAAAGGTGAAGAATTTCCAATGGCTCCTGGAAACAACCATGTGGGCAATGAGCATGGACACTCCCAACTTTAACTTTTTTGTACACAAAATAGCAGCAGATTAGAGATGGAAAGTAAGATACCAGGTGATCTCTCCTATATCCTGCAGAGTTAAAAACACGATGTACTGGATCCATTTGAAATATCCAACAGATTTTACCAAGAACATATGCTTGTTATGGAAAAAAAACCCAGTTACCTTTAAAGCTAAGGAAGCTAAAGATTTTGAAATCAATCTCTATTGGCCAGAAATGGCTATAAGTTTTTACTAACAATGAATTTTAACCCGAACCAAAAGTTTGGGATGGTTAAAAATAGACCAAAGCCAATTCAACGATGCATGTTTCCTATATTGTGATTGATGAGCCCCAAATATGTTTGAGGCATGTTATTTTATGAATTCTGATGCAAACTAATTGATTCCTAACTCCTGATCAGAGTTAATGCAAATATTTATATTAGAAATATTTGACTAATACTGTACTCATGAATGGCGTCAAATCAGAGACTCTCAACTAGGGTATCCTGGGTGCTGTGCTGGTCACGGTTGTTATAAAATGACTGGGAAGAAATAGTTGAGGGATTGAGGCAAAAACCCTAGAATTGCTAAAGCTTTGGAAGAAGAAGAGAAGAGTAGAAAGAATCTTTGAACAATTGACTGAAAAAAGAGGAAGAAATTTAACAGGGAGAAGTGTAAACTCCTGCATCTACAGCAATGCTTCTTAACCTTATTATGCTGCCTTCCTGCTCAGGAACTGAAAATCCTGCTTGGATTTCAGTTCCTTCTCATCTCTGGGGTCTGGTTAAAAAAGCTCTCCAGTAAAGGATTTCAGCTCTGTGCCTACCTGACAGAGCTGAAATCCTTTGGTAAGGAGCTCTTTCAACCAGCCACTAAAGGTGAGATGGAATCTTCCTGGCCGGTGGCAGCAGCTTGCAATCTTCCCTGTCAACTTTTCTAATGATTTTTTGAGGAAACAAGCAGAGAAGATTGCAAATGGAGACCAGATAATTGCAGGGTGCTTGGCAACTAGTTGTAAATGCAAAACAAGTTGCTAAATACCCAGACTGTGATCATGTGACTGTTGGAGGGGATGGTTAGAAGTGTTTTACAGCACGTAAAACAAAACCATCACAAAATTTGCATCCACCCTTTCCAAGACTGTTGTTAATTGGAGCTGTCATTAAATAAATGGTCATAAATCAAGGACCATCTGTGTATTATTTCTAAAGAACTTTTTAAAGTTTGGTTGTTAAAAATAAATTTTTCACTCCTTTGGCTTAAGGCTCCAAAACTGAGCATAATTTAATGCAAAAAGCAGAATTCAGCTACTAATTCATCTTTTGGGCTTTATGTAGAAGAGACCAGCCATCATGTGGATCTTATGAAAGAGGGATCAGCAATCTATTCTTGGAGTCTAGGATGCATTTAGTGTTTCAGTCTAAGCTTCAGTATAAGGAGCATTTTTGGAGCCACTCACAAAACTTTCACAAAAACTGTAATCTGAAAAGAATTCTTACTTGGGGACAGAAAAATTTGCTTTCTTGGCATCTACATGAATTAGCAAAAAATATCTGGCCAGAAGGAATTGCCTCTAACATGGGGGTCCCCAACCTTTGGGCCGTGGACCGGTATCGGGCCACAGCCTGTTGGGAACCGGGCTGCACAAGCAGCGGGTGAGTGAGCGAAGCTTTATCTGCGCATGCGTGGATCTAGATTGCACATGAAACCATCCCCCCACCCTGGTCCATGGAAAAATTGTCTTCCACAAAACCAGTCCCTGGTGCCAGAAAGGTTGGGGACTGCTGCTCTAACAGACAAAAAGTTGGGAAGTTCCCCTTTTTAATTCATGGTCTTACTCAATATTGTAGCGGATGAAGAACAGATCATGATTCCAAAATCTGGACTCTCCTTACAGCATCTATTGAGCATCTGAATGCAGAGAGTTTATTCAGCATTTTAAATGAAAGTGCAAGAGGTATGGAATAGAGCCAATTCTGGTGATTTTCCTGCATTCATTGCAAGAACTTTAAACAAGACTACAGAAAGGCAGGAAATGAGAGTTGGTTATGAGATAAAAGGTTCCAGGGGCATCTGCAGTGGAGAGTGTAAAAAAAGTCAAGATGGTAGCTGGTCTGAAGCCCACCCCCTTTTTACATGTAAAAGGGTCAAAGCTTCAAACCCAAATTGTGGCCGCCATCTTGATTTTGTTTCACCACTGGCTATGAATGTCCTCAGTACTGCCTAATGGTACCCTGATCACTTGAGAAATATGATTATTGACTTGTACAAACTTTGAGTTGGGAGACATGGTGTTTGCTTGCAATGAGATGCATTTTAAACATTTGCAAAGCAAATTTAACTTAGCTCTAACTTTGAACTATTTTATTCTGAATGATTAATGGAGGCCAACTTTATCAAGCGACTTTACTAATGTTAAGGCAATAAGCAGGGATCGATTACTATTTCCGCACAAAGCACCCCAAAATCACACCAGTTTACATCTGAAGAGCTTCATGGAAAAGGCAAAGACTCAGAATTATTATCTGTCCCCAGGAATATAGCAGAGACATATAAACTGAACTGAACCAGAATTTTCTTACCAAGAGGCGGTCCGTGTGTAATAAGAATATCTATTCCATCTGGAATTAGGTTCCATTTCTCTAAGAGCGCTTGACCTCGTGGAAGATTAAAGCCCCAGCCATAAAACCAAGGTTGCCTGCCAAAGAAAGGGGAAGATAGTCTTCAATGCTTCACACATGCTGTAGTTAGCCAGTTAAGCTCCAGTATGAGAGGAGGCCCTGAATCCACATAGACAATGTGTCTAACGCAGTGTTTCCCAAACTTGACAATTTTAAGGCATGTGGACTTCAACTCCCAGAATTCCACAGCCAGCATTGCTGGCTGTGGAATTCTGGGAGTTGAAGTCCACATGCCTTAAAATTGTCAAGTTTGGGAAACACTGGTCTAATGGGTCAATTCAAGTGTTACAGAAGCATGCATGTGCCACTGCAATTCTGAGCTAATTTATAATGCATGGACACCCATGTAATCTGAAAACATTACCATATTTACTTTCAAAGAATATTCATTAATAAGCAATGGATACTACGCTTTTACTAATTTTAGCACGTTTGATCCAGTGTAAATGTCCTCTAAAGTACTGTAAAATGCCTTGTTTGGGATGTCTGCATTTATTCTCCTATTGTGTTTGGATAACCTTTTTATTAAAGTGAGTTCCATCGTGCAAAAGTCCTGTGAAAAGTCTTGTCTCCTTGAATGAAGCATTTGTACATGATAAGGGCCTAATCTGGAACACATAGGAGAATCAATGCAGGCACTTAATAAAACAGGTTTTTTTGTTTTTTGTTTTGGTCTTGTAGAGCTGTTTACATGCCCATCCCCTTATTTTTTTTCCCTTTTGGCTTTTTTTTTAACAAACTAGGAAAATATGTTTTTCACAGGGTAAAGTTATTTGGAAAACACCAAAAGAAAGTTGTAATAACATGGTGTTAAGTTTGGAATGGATTCATCTAGTAATGGACTCTATCAACTGCATAATAATTACCATCCAATTCAACAAAATCCCAGAGACCCAAAGCAGCCCAGCCCCTTTTAGCATGGACACACATAAAAAAGGAGTTGACAGTTCAATGGCATGTTTTGAATCCCTGACCAAAGACTGCTATGTGTGCCTTACCCAAATGAATTATATATAGCTCATTTATGGAGCTATTTTAACTGATACAGTTTTGCTTTCTTTTCATAATAGCGGTATTCACATTTCCTTTCCAAATGTGGCTATTCTATTAATGCAAACCTACTTAATGGCCTCATACTTGCCACCTATAATGCTGTATTAAAGAAGAATATTAGCATAGAATTTGTGGATCTATGACTCATTTAATATGAAAGCAGCACACTAACAAACAATGTGTGGAGGGGGAATGTGGAGAGATACAGAGCCCAATCTGCCTGCTGGTATATTGGCTATTACCAGAAACATAAACCGATAATGACTTTTTTTCGCCAACAACAAAGCCAAGAAGATGGCTTCATTGAAAATGAAGGAGGAGCAAGAGGAGAATTTGCCTTATTTGCAGATACAAATAAAAATAAGAAGCCAAGACTCACAATATCTCTGTACTCATAAAAGATAAAATGCAAGATGCTTTAAATTCACCTGTATTTTATCATTCTTTTAATTATAATGACTTGGTCTATTACAGGGGTCTTCAAACTTGGCCCTTTTATGACTTGTGGATGTCAACTCCCAGAATTCCTCAGCCAGCATACCTGGCTGAGGAATTCTGGGAATTGACATCCACAAGTCATAAACGGGCCAGGTTTGAAGACCCCTGGTCTATTATGTAGTGATTATTTAGCAGCAATTCTTCCTAAAGAAACAAGTACTAACAATATAAAAGAATCCCATACTTACCTCTGCTTTTCAGAAAGAAATATTAAAAACCAAAATATGCAATAAATTACATACAAGGGTGTCCGCCCTTTAGACGTCTACTTTCAATTAATCAGTTGTACCAGTATTCTTTACTAAACTGACCTATTAAAAGTAGATACTTTCATTTATATTATGTTTCATGCACTGCACAGATTGCCTGGCATATAGATTGTTCCACTGGACTTTAATAAGCTAAATCATCTCAGGGAAGAACTTCTGACTACATTTTCAATGAGTTAGGATCCGCAGAAGACCATATCACAAAAAAGATGTCACCTGCTCTGGTTGGCAGATGGGGTCTGGAACAGAGGAGGGGGGGCAGGTAGGCCTTTCATGTCAGTTCCCCCCACCCAGGTGTGAAATGCACTGCTAAGTAAGATTTGCTATTTAAGTATATATCATGTTGCAGGCTGGGAATAGACACATTCCTAACCTTGTTGGAATGGACCAAGTTGTTGAATCATATCAGATCCAGGAAAACTGTTAGGCTGATTCTTTTTAACCTCTAGATCAGGGGTCCCCAACCCCCGGTCCATGGACCAGTATCGGGTCACGGCATGTCAGAAACCGGACCGCACAAACCAGCAAAGCTCCATCCTCAGGATACAGGCAGTATACGAAACCACGCCCCCTCCAGTCCGCGGAAAAATGTCTCTCCACGGAACTGGTCCCTGGTGCCCAAAAGGTTGGGGACCTCTGCTCTAGACTACAAAATTTTAAATGTATCTTTAGTAGTTTTGGTAAATTAATACGTGCCACGTTCTCCTGGCATCTGCTGTGAGATCTATTGCTCTCATTTTTCACATTCAAATGTTTTGTTCTGCAGTTGCTATTTTGATGGTAGCGTTCATTACATCAAGGGCCAGAATGTTAATAATAAAAACTGTATCAAATATTGAAAGCGTTGGTTGTCGTATCTAGCTAACTGCCTGCTGCTTTTGCCCTGTCCCATAAGGAAAGAATAAAAGGCTGGTATGATTTTATAAGCTTTATAATAAGTGCAACTTGAAGATTGTTAAATATCAGCTACTCATTCTTCAGAGATGTCTCTTTGGGGTAGTCTGAAACCACTCCTTTTCTGCATCAAAAAAAAAAAAAAGATAATTCTTTGAAAGTCTTCTGAACTATTCCTTGTACATTGCCTGACAAAATCCAAAGAAACTGCCCTCAAAGCCGTAATGACTGTTTCCATAGTACTGATGCATTAATAGCATTTTCAGAAAATTATGTTGTCTGCTCTTTTTCTGATTTTTAAATGTGTACCTTTGAAATTCTATAAGATTACACACAAACTTAAATATATGTAAAAATATGCACACCAAGAGCTATTCTGAATACAAACTATTTTTCAGAGAGAATCAGTGTCATCTAACACACTAATTTACTGAGGCAATAGAATGTAGAAATCTTTAAAAATTGTCCTTTCCTCTTTTTAAAAGATGCTCTTTCACGGATCTTTCTCTTGATTTGTTTATTTCCCTGTAGTTGTTCTCCCCACCTTGTCGAAATTTACCTCATCTACTGTCAGAATGAGATGCTTATGGAGATCAGATGTACATGCTTTTAATCCACAATTTTTTTACTGTGGACAGAAAATCAGTGGGCATTTCTACACAGGCACTTAATACTGGTGCAATTAATATAGTTAATTTATCAGTAGAAGAAAATAATATCTCCCTCTTCAGTTCCAAAATAATTTTAGAGAAATGGAAAACATGATATGCATGTCTCTCCTTCCTTTTTTTATAATAATAGTTTTATTGATTTGTCAAAATATAAAATACAAAGATAAATTCAAAAAAGCAGTGCTTTTTTTCTAAAAAAAAAAAAAAAGGTGCTGGAACTCCCACATGTCATACAACCCGTCTTGCCTACCCTACAAGGTTCCATCCAAAAAAGGTGCCCGAATTCCGTTCTGGGCGTTCTATGAGAAAAAAAGCCCTGCAAAAAAGTAATATAAAACTAGAAGGGGGAGGGAAAAGAAAAAAAGAGGGAAAAGAAAAGAAAAAGACACCAACTTCCGACTCTCTTTAGCACAGTAGAAGATAACAACATTACAATCACAACTTTTTGCTTTAACACAACAGTGTGCACAAACCATTTCTATAACAAAAAAAAATTAACAAAAACAAAATCAAGATTTCATTTTTCTTTTTCACTGCAAGCACAAAATCTGGAAGCAATTTCAAATTAGAAGCAAAGTTAAATATATTCTCTTCTTTGGATAAAAGAATCGGTTTGACCATCTCTGCTTCTCTTTGCAAATACCTCTATTGACTCATTAATCTTTATCATAATTTATATTAAGGGAATCCTCTATATATTTTCAGGTTCCTTTTTCTCTCCTTCCTAACCTGTGTCCTTCAAGTAAATATGTTGGCACCGTATATATATATTCAGATACTCAACATGTGACTTGTGTGCAAACTACTGTTCCATGCAGAAGAGCACATGTGGCTCCAGCAGCTACTTAGGTAAATGGCTCTTAAAACATAATATGCAGTGAGCTTCCTTGGGGATCTTCAAGAGAAGGTGGCTTGCTTTTATCCAGGCATTTTTCTGACTAAAAAGGGCTCAGAGAAACAGCCTCCCTATAAAGCTGGGGAGGAATGGATAAGGGATAACAGAGAATCCCTGGAACAGGACAAAGTCCAAGCTTAAGACAATATGTATCTATATGGATTTCTGTTCTATAATTTTTCTTAAATTAGAGCCATGCAGTAGAAAACACTGTTATCTACAAAATGTTCCAATTAAGATGTGCTTTTAGCAAAGGCAGGCAAGTTTGCAGGATCTGCCATTGTTACATGACACACATCTTTTGTCTTATCTCTTCAGTGATTTGCTTTATAGTTTAGGATTTTAAAATCCCTCTGTATAAACGGATTTATCTTGCTTATGAAATTCTGAGTCATAGCAATGTTGCTTCAAATAATTTTAAACACAGCTCAGAAATCTTTAAACTTTAAACCTGTTTAAAAACTTTTTAAAAACTCCTTTGAAACTTTGCAGCCATTTAAAAGCCAGATTTAAAAAGGCTACATATTTGTATGCAGCAATAGGCTGTGAACCTCTAGAGCAGTGGTGGCGAACCTTTTAGAGACCGAGTGCCCAAAAACTGGCCCCGCCCCCGTTCCATCCCCACCCCGCCTGCCCACAGGGCCATTCACCGCCTCCAGGGCCTGCCGCAGATCGCCTCGCAGCACCATGGCAGCCACGCCCTCTGCCCGCGCCACGCAGCATCAACTGTGCGCGAT